TGCTGCAGCAGCTCCCTGGCACCGGGTTGCTGCTTCAGAGCTTCCACTTCTGCTCCAGAGGCCAGCATAAAGTCTGTCCTACCACAGTCTTGCTCCCTGATAAACCTGGGGCAATCAGCCCTATCACACCACGCTCTCCGCTGCCTCTTCTCTCCCTCTGAGGTGCTGGCCTAGAGGAGATGGGGGATGGCACAGGCAGCCTCAGTACCCCCCGTTACCCTTCACATCTTCCATCCCATGCAGTTTTTCCTCTTCCTCTGGTTACACTAAATGGATAGTTCCTCGAACCAGTTGGTTCCCCATTACAACACACACTTGGTTTTGAACACGGAAAATAGCTAAGCACTTGATTTAAACTTGCAAAATTTATTGGAAAGTTTCTCTCAAAGTGATTTTAACCAACACTGTCTGCGCTGAACAGCAGAGAGTACCAAATTTAACTTGTAGAATGGGATCGGTTTCACCCAAGATAATGTCAGTACCATTTTCAGACTGTCCTTCCCCAATGCACCACCTCACTTCACTTTCAAAACCAGGAGCACAGTTTGCCTCCTAATTTTACCAAATCCCTTTCACGTCCTGCTAAATGCTTAGCATGCCTTTAATGCCCAAAGGACTTTGTGCATTTAGAATATGTTGTCTCTGACAAGCAGCTGTGGACAAGAAATGCATTTTAGAAGGAGCTTCCAGTAACCCCTGAGTGAATTAAGAATAAAAGTCCATTGTAAACAGATTGTAACTAATTGCTCCATTCAACAAAATAACTATTCCATGGTTTCAGCCCCAAAGCCCTTACAGCCTCTAAGATTCAAATCAGATTCAAGGGGAACCTCAGTCCCTTTGGTATGTTACAGAGATGGAAGCAAGGGTACACTAAATGAAGAGAAAAAAGCCAAGTGACTTTATAGGAATTTTTTTGTATTTTCAGGACCTCTTTTTTGAACTTTTTTTTTGAGGATGAAAGTGTCTTTTTCATCTGAAATGCATTTGCTCTTAAGTAGAAATTAGTAACTTTGATAACCACAAATACATTACTGATTTTGAGTGAAACAATGTTTGAAATTTCAATTTTTAGTTGGGTTCCCCTCCCCCCCTTATGAAAAACAATAGGTTATATTGTAAATATGGAAAAGTTTGAAATGCTAGAAATTGTCATACAATTGGCAAGACACTTTTGTTCAGGTGAGTCATGAGACCGTCTTTGTATTCAAACCTTCATGAAAAGAAAGATTAGCAACTAATTTAAAAAAAAAAAATCTAATTTCTGTTTTAAGTAGAGAAAAAGATCCCTTTGCTTTCTAGTTAACAGGTATCTCAGTCTTTCAGAAAGCTATTTTAGATCCAGATTTTCAAAGTGGAGTTAGAAGAATAGAGACTCCAAATGAAGATGTTTTCACAGAAAATTCCTAGACAAAGCAGGGCATCTACTGAAACTAGCTGGCTGCAATTAAGTATTTCTCATCTGAGAGATTATAGGTGCTTTTGAGAGTTCTAGGACTAGATTTTACTTGCAAAATTGACTGGAAAATAGTGTCACCACTTATGATTCATTTATATCAAATAGCTCAAGTGGGATTGAAAGGTCTGGGGAAGGTTTGAAACATTTTCTTCCTAAACAAGAAAATGTAAATTCAAATACCAGTAAATGTTTTCTCACTGTTTTTGACATACCTCAGATGACACAAGACATCATTCATCAGGTAGCAAACAAAGTGAAAGTTGTACTGAAATAATGTCATATATTTTGAGATATGAGAAACTACACTCAGCTGTAGGTTTAGATATGTGGGCAATTGATGAAACCGTTCAATACTGAAAGATAAATGACTTGATGAACACGCATACCCTTAATTACACACAAATAGATTGCAGAAACTTGATACTGAGAAGACTGCATAGACTCAGATCCTCAGAACCTGCTACCATGCCCTCGCCTTCAGCCACCAGACGCTCCGTGCGACTGTTGGCCAGATTGCCATAGGTTCCCATCCACCCTGACTCTGCAGCTCAATTAC